GGCCTCTAACCCACACTTACAACACGTCCTTCTCCCATTTATACCGATAAACTGATGTTCACACCCCTCGGAACAAAAACGTTCGTTAGGAAATTCCACAGGTTCCGGCTCCTTAGGACCAAGAGAATCCAAGTACTCCTTTTCCGCTATTTTAAAGTTCTCCATGTCCTTGCTCCTCTTTCTCTTCTTCCTCGGTCCCCTGGGTGGACACAACCTTTTATGGTATGCTGAAAGGGTCTTTGAAAGCGGGGAATCCATATACCGTTCAGCAATTCCCGATCTGGAGCCGGTCCATCAAAGTTCCTACCGATAGAGTCTAAGTACGCCACAAAAATAATGTTCATGTTCTTGTAACCGGACCTTTTTATAGTCTTTAAATACAAATCCGTATTTTCCTCATATTTCTTAAGAGACACTTCAAAAGGAAAATCCGTACTTTCCCGGCATCTATCGTAAGACACTTCAGAAGAATCCATACCTTTATTTACACTGGTGCGACAGATTAGAATGTGCTTATCAAACCCTACCTCACCTCCGAAGGAAAGCAAACACCGATCACAAAATATCCTCGACTTCCTACTCCTGTTAATTTGACCCGATCATAAAGGACTTATATTTCTAACAACATAATACCTAGATCCGTAAAAAAATAACGTAACAACATTCGGATACGTCCATCCTGCCACCTTTAATGCAACAATCCTGTCGCCAGACAATCCGATCAAATTAATCCCTATTCCGTACGTTATTCTTCTCAAATTCCGGCACAATCGGTGACGACCAGTCCAGATTCTCCGACTGTTCTATCAGGGTTCCGCTAACGGTACTTACCTTTTTCTCCACCGGATGCAGAGAACGTGTGATTGTATACTTAAAACTATCCCCATCTTCGCACTCCATATTAGTAACTGCTTTCTTATCCCTAATCCATTTAGGCAAAGACATTACTTTTATTTTTAACCTGATAAATCTATAAATGTTAATTCTGTTCAGCAAGACTCCGACAAGCGTGCGTGTGTGTAAGCACGCGCGGGCATGCCGGCAAGTGGACGTGTGGGCATGCGGGGCATGCGGGCGTACGGGCGTGCGGGGCCCTCGGAACATCGGGTCAACACCCACGAGGATTTGCGGCAAACTGTCAGAGCACGTGTGTACGTACTTGCGTACCTGCGTGTTCGCGACCACGGATGCACGAGCACGGGGGAGGGGTCCGGCAGGCAGAGGACCCCCAGGACGGCGCGGGGAATTGGGGAACCGGAAGTTACGTCATCGATTCGACCGGAAGTGACGTCATCAATTCAACCCGCGCATGCGCAAACCGTTTTGTCCTAGAACCGGCTATATTACACTACTTATGTCATACGAAACTATCCTCGATTTTTCGCCTTTAATGCATTTCTTTCACGATTAATCGACATCCCCTGCAAGAATGATACCGTATAACTCTCAAAACAACGATGCTTTAATCAAAGAGCTTAAATTCGCTCTGAAATCCGTGAGGGAATAACAAAATTCGGCCAAAATATATCCGCGTGCCGGGTTTGCTGGACAAAAAGCGAAAGTCGTTGAACAACTCAAAATACACTCAACCCCGATTGGACGACGAATATCAACAAACATTTCAAATTTTTCTCCACTGGGAGGGGAGACAGTACTTGGAACAGTACTGTAATAATTAGATTATTTGAATCAAAACAATTCACAAACGTTATAAAGTCTACTACAAGTCGATTATATATTTATATGTGTTACTGTAAATATAACTGCAAATAGAACTATAATTTTACGCTGAAACATGTTGTCAAATAGGGTAAATTACAATCCGTATTTACTGACTAAACTTCTAAAATTTAAATTAGATTTGCACTGGTTTTCTCCTGACAAATTTATTAATTGTTATGGTTCAAATTTATATTACATTACTGACTACTGAAAATTTGAAATGTTTGTTGATATTCGTTGTCCAATCAGGGTTGAGTGTATTTTGAGTTGTTCAACGACTTTTGCTTTTTGTCCAGCAAACCCGGCACGCGGATATATTTTGGCCGAATTTTGTTATTCCCTCACGGATTTCAGAGCGAATTTAAGCTCTTTGATTAAAGCATCGCTGTTTTGAGAGTTATACGGTATCATTCTTGCAGGGGATGTCGATTAATCGTGAAAGAAATGGATTAAAGGCGAAAAATCGAGGATAGTTTCGTATGACATATGCCAAGTCTGGGCTATTTTGGTCTCAATGTTTTCTTCCTTCCCTCGGTATAAGGAAGGCACAGGCGGGCGCGGGCAAATCGAGCCTGGGCCTCCTGTGGTAGAGCCTGCCCGAAAGCCCTAGTCAAATTGATGCCGCCCACTTAGTTAATATCCATATTAACACCGCCCACTCGAAAAGTTTTGTATAAATTGATGACTTAAAATTTTAATTGTTGCATATTTACTATAGCCTGCGCTACATGCTTTCAATAAACTTTTTACAATAGATGGATAGCGATTCAACTGCCTGGAAATACAAGCAAAACGTCGGCAGCGAAGGCCCTTCGACTTTGTCTGGAAATTAGTAGTAGACGAAGACCGTGTTAATATTCTTTATGTTAATGTGAATAGCACGTGACTGAGTCTGCGCAGCAGAGTGGCGCAGTGGAACTCAACATGGCGAACATGTGGTCACGCAGATAGAGTTGTAAAGTTGTTCATATTAAAAGTTGATATTACAAGTTATCACAGTGTAAAGTTTGATTTATTTACATTGGTAGCAGAGAGTGGTTCTTAAAAAGTAAAAGATATGGATAGTAAGTTTATAAATCCACCGAAGTATCATAATGACTATAGAACATGGAAGCAGGAAATCGAGCTGTGGACGAAGGTTACAGGTTTGGCCAAGGCAAAGCAAGGCATTGCGGTTTGTTTAACGCTTGATGGCAAAGCAAAAGAAGTTGGATTATAGAATTAGGAGACGATCTCGGCGGCGAAGACGGACTTGGTCATTTGTTAAGAAAGCTTGATACGTTATTTCTCAAGGCCACTACGGAAAGTGATTACGAGGCGTATAAAAATTTTGATACTGTTAGAAAAAAAACTAGTACAAGTATGGCAGAATACATTGTTGACTTTGATTCATTTTACACCAAGATCAAAAAGAGAGAGATGGCTTTACCAGAAGCTGTTCTTGCCTTTAAAGTATTGGACGGGGCAGGCTTGACAGAAAATCAACGACAATTAGCACTAACTGCTTGTTCTGACCTGAAATATAAAAGCTTGAAGTCTACACTAAAAATAATTTTTGGTGGTGCATTGTCAGACAGTGCCAGCGGTGTGACAGGAGATGAAGCAATCTCGATGAAACAAGAAGCAATGTATTCAGCAAGCAATAGAACCCAAGTTTCGACAAGTTAGAACATCTCTGATAAAAGATCGATCTAATCGTAAAACAAATCAGTTAAACCGATTTGGTCAACCAACTAGATGTAGAATTTGTCAGTCAATTTTTCACTATGCTACAAACTGCCCTGACAAAAGTGAGAGAATTCATTTATCAGAGGATGTACCACTATCTGAAGAGGGTGTGGAATCAGTAAATATCACATTGTTGACCCAAAGTGAGATATTGATAGCGGAGTCATATGGCACTGCGATTCTTGATACAGCTTGCACAAAAACTGTCTGTGGAAAGTCATGGCTACAGAACTTTGTTGAGAAGGGTGGTAAAGTGTTATCAACTCAGAAAAGTCATAGACCTTTCAAGTTTGGTCATGGATCATTAATATACTCTGACAAAGTAGTTATAATTGCAGCAAAAATTGGGAAAACAAATTGCGAAATAAAAGTGGAGGTGGTACCGATTGAACTGCCCTTACTGTTAAGCAAAGAGTCGCTAAAACGAGCTGGGGCAGAATTAGATATACCTAATGATGAAGCGATCCTGTTTGGTGAAAAACTAAAACTAGAACTGACTTCATCTGGTCACTATTGTGTTAGTATAATGGGGAATCAAAACAAAGATGAAGTTGAAGATGTTATGTATTCGAAGACAACGTTTCAAGGTATGAATGATGCTGAAAAACGGAAGAAACTCTTAAAACTACATTATCAATTTGGACATGCCAGTGCAATGAAACTTATTCAATTACTTAAATCAGCAGATATTAAGGATGAACAATTATTTATTATCCTACAGGAAGTAGTGGATGGATGCGACACATGTCAGAAGTTCAAGAAATCTCCTGCAAGACCAGTAGTTGGTTTACCTCGAGCCAGTGACTTCAATGAGACTGTTGCTGTTGACCTTCATCAATTGGGAAGTAATATATGGTATTTACATATAATAGATGAATTTAGTAGATTAAGTAATGCATGCATAGTATACAACAAAGAACCTGAAACATTTATTGAAATGTTCATTAAGCATTGGGTTTCTGTTTATGGGGCTCCCAAAAGATTAGTTAGTGATAATGGGGGTGAATTTAACAATCATTTAGTAAGAGATATGTGTGAAAATTTTGGCATTGAAGTTATAACAACTCCTGCATATAGTCCATGGAGTAATGGTACATGTGAGAGACATAACTTGATATTAACTGAAATATTAGTTAAGCTTAGGGAAAGCCATGCCTATGACTGGGAAATATCCCTCTGTTGGGCAGTTGCTGCCAAGAATGCTTTAAATAATGTTAATGGGTTTAGCCCATACCAAATAGTCTTTGGCAGAAATCCCAATTTGCCTTCTGCTTTTAGTGACAAGCTACCTGCACTTGAGGGACAAACAACTTCTGAGAATGTTGCTTCACACATTAATACAATGTATGCTGCCAGAGAAGCATTTGTTAAGGCTGAACGGTCTGAGAGAATAAGGAGAGCATTGCGTAAGAATACCAGAAATACTGATGAGGTATATAAGTCTGGTAACAAAGTATATTATAAAAGACCGGATGAAACAAAATGGAAGGGGCCTGGTGTTGTTATTGGAGTAGAAGGGCCAGTTGTGTTTGTGAGACATGGTGGGTCTCTAGTGAGAGTTCACAGATGCAGGCTACAAAAAGTGTGTAGTGATGATAAAGTAGTTTCTAGTGGTAATACTGAAGCTGTGAGTTCACCTAGACCTTCAGTTGATGAAGTTGAAAACACTTCAAATGATTCTTGCAAGTTGAATAGTGACACATCTGCAGAGACAGGGTCTGAGACAGATAAAAGTGAGGGATGCAGAAAGTCATCTAGAGTAGTTAAAAAACCTGATTGGTTAAATGATTATGTTGAAGATGTTGATGAAGTCATGCTTGTGAGTGATATTGATGTGAACAAAGCAAAAATGAGAGAATTAGAAAGTTGGGGAGAGAATGAGGTCTATCACGAAGTGCCTTATACAGGTCAAAAATGTGTTTCAACTAGGTGGGTGTATACCTTTAAGACAATAAATGATTCTATTGTTCCCAAAGCTAGGCTAGTTGCTCGGGGTTTTGAAGAATATGATCAAACTATTCAAAAAGACTCCCCCACTTGTGCACATGAGTCACTTAGGTTGATAATTTCAGTTTTGGCCCAGAATAAATGGAAGCTTAATTCTATGGATATTAAAACTGCCTTCCTCCAAGGGCAATCCATAGACAGAGATGTTTATATTAAACCTCCCATTGAAGCCAAAGTTAATTCGAATACAGTTTGGAAGCTCAATAAGTGTGTATATGGGTTAAGTGATGCTTCTTTAAATTGGTATTGTAGGGTTAAATCTCTGTTACTAGAATTGGGAGCATGTGTTTCTAAAGTTGACCCTGCTGTATTTTATTGGCTTGATGAAAATGGTGATGTTTATGGGATGTTGGCATGTCATGTTGATGATTTTATTTGGGGGGGTAAACCCGAATTTGAAAATGTCATAGGTAGGATAAGATCTATCTTAAGTGTTGGCAAAGAAAGCAATAAAGCCTTCAAATATTGTGGTATTGACTTGGAAAATGGTGAAGATGGTGTGATATATCTTGATCAGATAGATTATACAGATTTACTTAAACCTGTTGAAATTACTGCTTCTAGAGCTTTTGAAAAAGATAGTGAGTTGACGGAGTTAACTCAACATGGCGAACATGTGGTCACGCTGATAGAGTTGTAAAGTTGTTCATATTAAAAGTCGATATTACAAGTTATCACAGTGTAAAGTTTGATTTATTTACAGACCGTTCAAAATTATATTATGCTTTGCACCTGTATGGCTGTTATATACAGTTATAAATATTGCAGTATTAAATATGACTTAGGAAAAGTTTTGATATACCCCTTCCCGTGTTATACACGTTGGCAGGCAAATGTATTTTAAAAGCTCCAAAGAGAGCTTCGTATTATTTTTTTATTTAATTTAATGATTTGCCTATGTGATATACCATTATGTTACATAAAAATTAAATAAAATAAAGTAGAAACATTTGGGCTAGGAGTCTATAGAAACCTTGAACAGGCTTTTGATTTAGACCACTAGTTTAAAGTCTTGGTGCTAATATATATAGTTCAATTGTCATCGGTTCTAAGTATTTACAAAAAGTGAGGTTATGTTACATTCAATATTTGTAGGAGAGTATTTACTTTTATTAATTTAAAGAGAAGCTTGAGTTAAATATCTATTTACATGAAGAAAATTACAGTTAAAGTGATTTATAAGATTAATTACATAGAAAGTGTATTTTGGATTTTCTCTTAAAAATGGAACGTGATGTTATTATTTTTAAATTACTGTCAAGATTATTCCAAACGTCCACCCCTTTCACTGAAAGCGAGTGCTTGACGTAGTTAGTTCTCTGATAAGACTTATGAAGTTTAGTTGAGTTTCGAGTGTTGTATTGGTGAATTTGGTTATTTGAAATAAAAAAGCTTGTGAAAGTTTTTGGCAAGTTCTTTAAATGATGATATCGGAACATGAAAAGACTTGTAAGGTAGTTATTTAACTTACTGAGATTCAAGATCTGTAGGTCAATAAATATTTTTTCAGTGTGAGAAAAATTGGATTGAAATGTCATAAGACGAATTATTTTCTTTTGAACATTTGTTAACTTTTGAATTCTTGTTTTGTATGTGTTACTCCATATTAGATTGCCATAGATTAGATATGGATAGACTAAAGCATAGTATATTAGTTTTAAAGTATTCAAATTTGTAAAATGACGAATTTTTGCAATAATTCCTGCAGATTTCATAATTTTCTTTGCAACGGAATCGATATGATCGTTCCATGATAAACATTCATCAATAACTACTCCTAAAAAGGTTGTACTTTTGACTTGTTTGATATCGTCGTTATTGATGAACAACTTTACTACGTGTTTCTTTTTCTTTTTTGAGGATCGAAATAAAATAAATTTGGTTTTTGATGTGTTGATAGATAGTTTGTTTGTGTTTAGCCATTCGGCTATTTTGTCCACTTCTGTCTGAAGAGTTTCATTTAGTGTTTTGAGGCATGAGTGACTGTAAAATATATTTGTATCATCAGCAAACAATAGCATTGATGCTATATCACTACAGTCTTGAATATCGTTTATATAGAGGATAAAAAGTAGCGGACCCAATATTGAACCTTGCGGGACCCCAGTTTGTACTATCATTTCGTTTGACATTATTTGTTTATATTTTACAATTTGTTTCCTGTTTGTAAGATAATTTTCAAACCAAAGTCTTGCTATGCCACGAATTCCGTAATATTCTAATTTACTGATCAGAATCTTGTGATCAATGGTGTCAAATGCTTTTGACAAATCTAAGAAAATACCTATGGTGTATTTTCCGTGATCGATTTCTTTTGTAATTTTATTAACAAGTTCGATTATTGCAAGTTCAGTTGATCTGTTTTTTCTGAATCCATATTGATGGTCAGATAAAATATTATTTTTTTCAACGTAATTTATTAGTCGTTTGTACATTAATTTTTCAAGTATTTTAGCGAAACAAGTTAGAACTGATATTGGTCTATAGTTTTCAAATTTATTTTCTTCATTTGATTTAAATACTGGTGTTACCAGGGAAGTTTTAATCTGTTCAGGAAT